GCCCCACAGGGCTCCAGTGCTCACCAGGAGAGAGCCAGACCCCACCACCGCTGCACCAGCACAACCCCAGGGCTGCAAAGAGGCTCTGGAGGAGGCTTCTCCTCCTGGTTCCACCTCTGCCTGCTCCTCCTGGGGTGGCACAGGGGGACACCAGCTGGGCACGGGGTTAGCATCCAGCACCCCAAGAGCACACGTGCACTGGGTGTTGCTTTTTGTTTTTTGTGTGGGTGTTCATTTTTGTCAAAATTAGGTTGACGGTTGGACAAGATGATCTTTAAGGTCCCTTCCAACCTAGAAGACTCTGATTCTGTGGGAAGGGGATGTGCCAGCCTGCCCCTGCCTCCACCCTGCTCCAGGCTGTTCATCAGCACTTTGTGAGAGCATGGTGTACCTGGAGCTCTCCCAAACCTCCCAAACCAACCTGCCCTCTAAAGCCACCCGTTGCTCAACGGCGCTTCCTCTCGCGTCACCGGTAACTCGATCAGACGGGAGAAGTGCTGCCCCAAGCACGCAAGCAATTCCCTCCTGGTGCTTTACTGGGGTGTTTATCACAACAGCAAATCTGTTGGGTCTGGGAGGGGTGAGCAACAGCGGCACTCGCAGCCCTGCCCCTCGCCTCCCTCCTGGATGGAGCCCCATGGCCCCCTGCACAGCCACACCAGGCCCTCAGGGCACAAATCCGACCAGGAACGGGTCAAATACCAATAGAGGTTAGGGATGGACCTGCTGGAAAGCACTTCTGAGGAGAAGGATCTGGGGGTCCTGGTGGAGAGTAAACTCTCCATGAGCCAGCAATGTGCCCTGGTGGCCAAGAGGCCAATGGGATCCTGGGCTGTGTAGGGAAGAGTGTGGCCAGGAGGTCCAGGGAGGTCATTCTCCCCCTCTGCTCTGCACTGGGGAGGCCACAACTGGAAAAATGCGTCCAGTTCTGGGCTCCCCAGTTCAAGAGAGACAGGGAACTGCTGGAGAGAGTCCAGCGTAGGACAACAAAGATGATGGAGGGATCAGAGCATCTCCCTGGTGAGGAAAGGCTGAGAGAGCTGGGGCTCTTCAGCCTGGAGAAGAGAAGGCTGAGGGGAGACCTTATTAATGCTCATAAATATCTAAAGGGTGGTGTGAGGGAGGATGGAGCTGGACTCTTTTCAGTGGTTCCCAGTGACAGGACGAGGGGCAACGGGCACAAGCTGGACCATGGGAAGTTCCACTCAAACATGAGGAAGAACTTCTTTGGGGTGAGGGTGGCAGAGCCCTGGAAGAGGCTGCCCAGGGAGGGTGTGGAGTCCCCTTCTCTGGAGATCTTCAAGCCCTGCCTGGATGCAGCCCTGAGCGATGTGCTCTGGGCAGCCCTGCTTTTGAGTTGAACTGGATGATCTCTAGAAGGTCCCTTCCAACTCCAACAATTCCGTGAAATGGAAGCCACCAGGTGGGAACAGCATCACCTTCACATTTGTGTGCGCTCCCCAGCCCACAAGGACAGTCTCCACGTCCTCCCTCTGCCCAGCACCGAGCATCCCACTCCCGAGGCTTGGAGCTCGTGGTGGTCACCCAGTCCCATACCTGAGACCCTGTTGTCCACGCTGCCCGCCGTGCCCACCAGGTACTCCAGAGCACTCTGGCAGCACGTGGTCCTCCCGGCCCCGCTGCGCCCCAGGGGCACGATGGCCTGGTCCTGCCGCTGCATCAGCAGGTTCCTGTAGGCTCTCTGGGCCACCGAGCAGATGTGTGGGGGCACGTTGTCCCGCTTCCCCTTGAGGGCCTGTGGGCAGGAAGAGAGTGGGAAAATACAACCCAAAACAGGCTTCTGGCAGAGAAAATCCTGAAAACATTCATGCTCAGGGTGATGGTTTCTCCCCAGGATGCAGAACCCCCTGAGATTGACAGGGGAAGAGGAAATGCCACCCAGCCCAGCTCACTGGGGACCAGCACCAGTTGGGGACCGACCCGAGGAACCCACAGCAGGACCTGTTCCACCTTGTCTGTGAGCAAAAGTTCTACCAGGCACCACACCTCAGCCCCATTCCCTTCCCAGCCAGCCCCAGACTGCTCAGGGAGTGCAGTCCCAACAACACAGCGATTTTCTCCTGGAAACCAGCATCCCTGCCAGCATCCCTGGCCCCGAGTGTCCCCAGTCCTGAGTACCCTCAGAACATCCCCAGCCCTGAGCATCCTCCAGAGCATCTTCAGCCCCAGGCATTCCCCGTCCTGACTGCCCCTGGTCCCGAGTGTCCTCAGAGCATCCCCAATCCTGAGCATCCCTGGCCCCAGGCATCCCCATCCCGAGCATCCCTGCTCCCCAGTGTCCTCAGAGCAACTCCACCCCGAGCATCCTTGGTCCCCAGTGTCCTCAGAGCATCCCCAACCCCGAACATCCCTGGTCCCCAGTGTCCTTGGAGCATCCCCAACCCCGAGCATCCCTGCTCCCAAGTGTCCTCAGAGCATCCCCAACCCGGTGCATCCTTGGTCCCAAGTGTCCTCAGAGCATCCCAACCCCGAGCATCCCTGTTCCCCAGTGTCCTCAGAGCCTCCCCAGCCCTGAGCATCCTCCAGAGCATCCTCAGCCTCAGGCATTCCCAGTCCTGACTGTCCCTGGTCCCCAGTGTCCTCAGAGCACCCCCAACCCTGAGCATCTCTGGTCCCCAGTGTCCTCAGAGCATCCCCCACCCCGAGCATCCCTGGTCCCCAGTGTCCTCGGAGCCTCCCCACCCTGAGCATCCCTGGTCCAGAGTGTCTTCAGAGCATCCCCATCCCCGAGCATCCCTGCTTCCAAGTGTCCTCAGAGCCTCCCCAATCCTGAGAATCCCCAATCCCAAGCATCCCCGGTCCCCAGTGTCCTCAGAGCCTCCCCAACCCCAAGCATCCCTGCTCCCACATGTCCTCAGAGCATCCCCACCCCAAGCATCCCTGCTCCCCATTGTCCTCAGAGCATCCCCACCCCGAGCATCCCCGGTCCCCAGTGTCCTCAGACCATCCCCACCCCGAGCATTTCTGCTCCCAAGTGTCCTCAGAGCATCCCCAACCCTGAGCATCCCTGGTCCAGAGTGTCCTCAGAGCATCCCCACCCCGAGCATCCCTGGTCCAGAGTGTCCTCAGAGCATCCCCACCCCGAGCATCCCTGCTTCCAAGTGTCCTCAGAGCATCCCCAATCCCGAGAATCCCCAAACCCAAGCATCCCTGGTCCCCAGTGTCCTCAGAGCATCCTCAACCTGAGCATCCCTGCTCCAAGCATCCCTGGTTCCAAATGTCCTCAGAGCACTCCCAACCCTGAGCATCCTCAGTCCCCAGTGTCCTCAGAGCATCCCCAACCCCGATCATCCTGTCGCCCTGTGACGGTCCCACGGTGCCATCTGCCGGCTCCGCAGCACCCGGCGCCCTCTGCCACCGTCCCCACGCTGTGTGGGAGGGGGGTGATAGCTGCTCGTGTCCCACGGGAGATCCCAGCCTCCCCACGGTCCCCACTCACCTTCCCCGAGCTGCTGCTGGCAACGAAGCTGGGCCTGATGGCCACCAGGCTGGCCCCGGCGTAGGTGTAGGGCAGCCGGGTCTGGTAGCGCTGCTGCAGCGTGTTCATGGCGCTGCACTCGTTGAGGCTGACGAGCGTGGCCAGGTCCTCGGCGTAATCCAGGCTGGGGGGGTTGGTCTGCAGGGGAGAGACAGAGCCCCCCCCTCAAGCTCTGCCGTCGGGGTACAGGCTGTGCCGGACCCCATCATGGCATCTTGGAGCCATCCAGCTGGGGACAGTGGCCCAAAATAACAGGGGTTTACAAAATAACAGGGGTTTAATCCCACCCTGGGGGCTGCGGGGAGGGCTCCTGTCCCTGCAACCAGCCCAAAGTGAGGAGGGGGGGGCTCACCCGCTGCACGCTGTCCTCATCCACCTCAGTGATGCTGCCGTCCACCTCCCGGCGCACCCTCACCCTCCCCGCCGGCAGCTCGGGGGTCCCCACGTCTGGTTTCAGCTGCGTGGCTGCAACGAGAGGCTGGTGAGTCCCTCGGGGTGGCACGGCCGAAGGGGCTGAGGCGTGGGGAGATGCCAAGGGGGCCACCACCAACCATAGCCACGCTGGGGCATGGTGACCAGCACAGCACCCAGCGCCCACCCTGCTCCCCCAGCCCCCAGCCAGGCTGGGGACAGCTCGTGTCTTCAGTCCTAGACCCTGAGGAGCAGAGGAAGGCAAGTTACCCAGCGTGAATCCATCCTGCTGGACCAGCCAGACCTTCTCCGCTTCGTACCAAACGTCCCTCGGAGCCTGCGGGGGGGAGAAAGGGGAATTGCGCAGGAACTGGTGGAAAACTGAGCCGGACAAACTGGATTTGCCCCATGGACAGCCACACTTCCAGCCAGAACCTCTGCCCTTCCTCTGCCCCTCCTGGCCAGCCCCAGGGGGGTCACCTTCCCTCAGGCCCCAGCTGAGCCCATGGGAGCTGGAAGGAGCTGCATGAAACCAGAAAATGGCACCAGTACCCCCAGAATGTGGGGTAACAGCCTGGCAGGTCTGTGGACACGTTACCTGGTCCTTCTCCTTGCTCTCTCCTGTCTCTTTGCTCTCTCCTGTCTCTTTTCTTTCTTCTGGTGCCTCTTTACCCTCTGCTGGCTCTTCCTTCACCTTCCCCGCCTCCTTCACCGCATCTTTGGTCTTTTCTTGGATCCCTCCCGGCTCCTCCTTGAGCTCCTCTGACTTGTTTGTAGTTTTCCCAGGCTTTTTGATTTCCTTTGGTTCCTTCTCGCCACCTCCAACATCTTTCTTCATCTTCTCCAGCTCTTTCCTGACCGGCCCCAGCTCCCTCTTGGCTCTCCCCTTGGCTGGGGGCTGCTCGTGGCTGGGGGGTGCCCCCTTCTCCTTCTTGCTGCTCTCGGGGCCCGTCTCCTTGGGCACGTCCCCTGACTGGCCCCAGCTCCCTCTTGGCTCTCCCCTTGGCTGGGGGCTGCTCGTGGTTGGGGGGTGCCCCCTTCTCCTTCTTGCTGCTCTCGGGGCCCGTCTCCTTGGGCACGTCCCCCTCTTTCACCGGGACTTTGCTGCTGCGCTGGGGTTCCTTGCTGGGTGTGGGGGCTGGAGTTGGGGGGCTGCCCCCCGGGGTGGGCTTCTTGGGGCTCTTCTCTGGGCACGACGGCTTCGCTGCCTTGGGAGCCTCCGGGCGAGGGGTCTCTGCTGGTTTGGGGGCAGCTGTCGGGGGGGATGGGGCTTTGCTGGCAGCCTTCCCGGGTGGCGGGTCCTTGCGTGGGGGGGCCGGGACCCCCTCGTCCCCCGGTCCCTCTGCGTGCAGCCCGTTCTGCAGTGGTTGCCCCCCGCTGACCACCTTCCCCTTGGCAACTGGGGGGTCCCTGGCTGGGGCCTCGCCGTTGTCCACCACGGGCTGTCAAGCAAAGGAGAGAGGAGCTGGGTCTGACAGGGATAGGGACAGGGAGAAGGAGAAAGGAGGAAGGAGAAGGAGGAGAAGGAGGAGAAGGAGGAGAAGGAGGAGAAGGAGGAGAAGGAGGAGAAGGAGGAGAAGGAGGAGAAGGAGGAGAAGGAGGAGAAGGAGGAGAAGGAGGAGAAGGAGGAGAAGGAGGAGAAGGAGGAGAAGGAGGAGAAGGAGGAGAAGGAGGAGAAGGAGGAGAAGGAGGAGAAGGAGGAGAAGGAGGACTCGCCCCCATCCCTGTCCCCAGCTGATGTCCATGCCACGCACATCCCAGCAGGACACACAGCTCGCTCTGGGCACGGGCGATGGCCACAGGTGGCTACCTGGGCCTGGCTGCATGGCTGCACTCGGTGGTGGCATCATCATCATCTTCCTCCTCCTCCTCCCTCCGCATTCCATCCCCCCACCCGCCGCCTCCCGGGTCACCCCACACATTCCCCCGTCCCGCAATCACTGAGCCCAACCCGCCAGCCTCGCGCTCCGCTTAACGAACTCGCCTGCCAATTAAGCAAGTCAGGAACCGGCAAGTTGCATTAATGAAGTCGCCGGCGTTAATTGCTGGAGGCTGGCGGCTGGCCAGGGCCGCAGCTTGCTGCAGCCAACAGAGCCCAGGCCTCGCTGTACGACCCACCTCATCCCAAAAAAACCCACCCCCATGTCAGGGGTCCTGGTGCCTTGAAGGGGAACTTCTCTGGAGGAGAGAAGGCTGAGGGGGGATCTGACGTGGTGGGTGTCAGGAGGATGGGGCCAGTCTTTTTTCAGTGGTGCCCAGGGACAGGACAAGATGAAATGGGCACAAACTTGAACATAAGAAGTTCCACCTAAACATGAGGAGGAACTTCTTCACTTTGAGGGTGGCAGAGCCCTGGAAGAGGCTGCCCAGGGAGGTAGTGGAGTCTCCTTCTCTGGAGACATTCAACCCCACCTGGACACGTTCCTCTAGGACTTGCTCTGGCTGGGGGTTGGCAGGGGGTTGGACTAGATGATCTCCAGAGGAACCTTCTAACCCCATGTGACTCTCTGAATGGCTTTGGGCCATTCAGACAGATGGGGGACAGATGGGGACACCCCAGGGCTGTGTCTGAACAGCTTTGGGCTGGGGACAGATGGGGACACCCCAGGGCTGTGTGGGGTTCATCCCCTCTCACCTCCTCCTTGGCGCTCGCCTTGGTCTCCTTCTTCAGCTTCGCCGCCTTGGCCTCCTTCTCCGTCTCCCGCACGAGCTGCTTGATGAACCCCCCCGGGATGACCGACAGGAGCAGGGGGGGCGCAGAGGGGGGTGGCCCCCGGTCCTCGTCCCGTATCTGTTTGGGGGAGCAGAGAGGGGGGTTACGGGGCACGGCGCAGGGGATGGGACCCCCGGCAAAGCCAGCCCCGTGGGGACACCAGCAACAGGAGCAGCAGAACATCAGCATCTGCCAGTGGGGGCCAGCGTGGGCATCTTGCAGGTTGCCCCAGGGCCACCCATCAGCAGCAGGCTGGCTGGGGGATGCTGTGGCGAGCAGGAGGAGAAGCACGGAGAAGAAGAAGCCCCCGCAGAGAAGCACCGAGGTTTCCACCAAAGGCTGGGCACCGTGGGGAGCTCGAGGCACTGCCACCTCTGCCCTGTGCCCACGGGGGCAACCATCCCAGCTGCAGCCAGTCAAGAAGCCATCCCTGGCATCGCCGTGGCCACATGCAGACCTGCTCCAAGCCAAAACCCAGCCCCACAAAGAGCTTTCCCAGCGGTGCCACCAGCAGCAGCGCCAGCCCCAAGCCCTGCGGGGAGCCACGTGCCCCAAACGGTGGCAAAATCACCCAAAATGAAACAACCAGGCTGCAAACGTGCCCAGAGCCAGGCAGGGTGGGACACAGGAGCGATGTGTGTGAGGGGATGCGGTGGCATGGGGCAGGCTGGCTGCGGTGTGTCCCCCCCCAACCCGGCTCTGAGCCCCCCCTGGCACAGCCCATGAGCATCCAGCCCCAAAACGCCGCTGGTGCCAGCCTGGAGAGAGACTTTCCTTCTGCTCCCAGAGCGCCAGGCGGGAGGAGATGGCCATGCCGGCGGTGAGGTGGGACGGTGCCGGACGGAGAGCCGCGGGGCCACGCTGGGGGCAGGAGGTGGAGAGAGAGGAGAGAGTTAGCCAAGGGCTCCCATTAGCCCCAGGACCGGCAGCACCATCACCTCGCTGGGCATCGTCCCAGTCTGAGCTCACGGGTACTGACCGGAGGGGACATTCTGGGGAGGGCACAGCCACGTGCAGCCACCTCCAGACACCGGAGGGAGGACCGGGGGCATGGGGGGTGATCACAGAATGGTTAGAGTTGGAAGGGACCTTAAAGATCATGGAGTTTCAACCCCCTGCCCTGGGCAGGGACACCTCCCACCAGCCCAGGTTGCTCCAAGCCCCCTCCAACCTGGCCTTGAACCCCTCCAGGCATGGGGCAGCCACAGCTTCTCTGGGCAACCTGGGCCAGGCTCCCACCACCCTCCCGGCAAAGAGTTTCTTCCTGAGATCTCATCCAAATCTCCCCTCTTTCAGTTTAAAACCGTTACCCCTTGTCCTGTCACTGCTCCTCCTGACAAAGAGTCCCTCCCCTGTAGGCTCCCTGCAGATTTTGGAAGGTCTCCCTTGAGTTCTCCTGGTGTTGGTGGCACCAGGGTGGTACCAGGACCCTGCTGCCCTGGGGCTGGGTGGCACCAGGGTGGCCGCAGGAGCCTGCCTGCCCGTCTGTCCGTCCCCCACTTCGGGCTGACCCCCAGCTTCACCTGTCGAGATCATTCATGCACCGAGCGGGTCGGGTCTCGTCTGGCCCTGCCTCGCTCCCGGGCGGCCGTATCTCCTTGTACAGTAAAGGGCAGGAGCCCCGGGAGCGGCCAGGAGCCGGCCCCAGGAATGTCACTTGCCTTCTCAGGCGGCACCCCCGGCTGCCACGTGTCCTCGCTCCCGTCGGGGACCGGGGCTGCCCCCCAACTCTGTCCCCCCCAGCCATGGGGAGAGCTGGGCCCGAGCCGGAGGGTCCCCCCACCCTAGAGCTGGCTCCTCAGTCCCTGCTTGGGGAAACTGAGGCACGGCGAGGGATGGGCCTCCACCAGGCACACAGCATGGCCCCAACGGGGGCTGGGGGACCCCCAACGACACCCCCATGTCCCCCCCCAAACCCCAGGGAGCAGGATTTGGGCCCATTTGGGCCACAGCCACATGGCTCTGGGCCCACACGCAGAAGTCAGCGGGGGCTCCTTCCTGCTGCCCCCCACCATCCACTGCCATCCCGGGGGGGTGCCAAGAGCCGAGGCCACCGAGGGGGTCCTAGGCCACCGAGGGGGTCCCTGGCCACCCCCCCCACTCCCATCGCAGCCCTCCCGGGGCTGGAAGTCGCCCCCGAGGCTGCCGTTATGGCCACCCCTCCCCACCTAAAAATAGTCCTCCCTGTCGAGGGGCCCCCCAGCTGCACATCCAGACCCCTCCGCTCCCACC